AATGAATGAATGAATGAATGAATGAATGAATGAATGAATGAATGAATGAATGAATGAATGAATGAAATGGTGGTAAAATCAATTAAACAGAACTATTATTTAACTTTGTGCTCTTTAAATGAGCACAACTCACCATATCTTGTCTAACCTAATTCTTGTTATTTTAAAAAGCCAGTGTAATTCAATAAATTTTAATTACAACTATATCCCATTGGAAGCAACTGAATGGGACTTTTAATACTAATTTACCTTTATTTTATAACTTTATTGTTAAGTTGTACAGCTCTATAAGCACTGGTTGCACGGTGAGTACAAAAGTCTTTGTTCACAACTCGTTTTCTCAATTATTGTGCTTAATTCAGTTGAAAATGGTCCCATTTCCTAACACTCAATAATAGGTAATTTTTAAATTTTTATACACAATACAAAACTCTGAAGATCTTGGAACCTCTTGGAGGCATAAATAGGGTCCAAGGCTTTTGCTATATGCAATGATTTGCTTCAATATTTATCCAAGACTTTGCCAAGATAGAGAGAGTCATCATTTCATCCTGCTTGCCAGCTTTATATTTTACATTTAACTGATTTTATTGGAATACTTTGTTCAATTGTTGTGAGCCACCCAGAATCATTGAGAGTTTGTTGGCATACAAGTCTAATAAATTATGACAGATTTACCAACAAGTATAACTGTAAAATCCCAGCCACAGGCAACCTGTATGACAGGACAGCCACAAAGAGAAGAACATAAGGTGAAATGTGTCACATCCTCAGTATGACCAAGTCCCAATTGTCCATCTTTATTCTGGCCACAGAAAAAGATCTCTCCAGTGTCTGTGAAATAAACAAATAGCATCAGCATCATATCTGTAGCAAACGGACCATATAAATCAATAGATTTAATCATCAGCCTGCACTCATAATATATCACTCGACCTATATGAGTAGTTGGGGAGCTGGCTTCTTAATGGCAACGCATCTCTTGGAAAAAGTTTATTGAAATTAATTTCCTTTAGATAATTAAAGTCATGCCTGTTCATTTGTAGAACAACATCTGCTTTAGGACAATATGCTTTTGTACTGCCTTATTGAAATGAATTGCTTTCAGCTTTGGATTCTTTCTATTTTTATTATTTTGTTTTAGGAAAAGTACTGTTATGTATTGTTCTGTAATTGCTATGTTCAAGTTTTTATTATCTTGTTCAGCATGATATGGCTCTTTGAAGAATGGATTAAAAATATAATAATGATGACAATTGTGACAAAATTGTGACAAAATATCTAACAGATCCTAAGAACATGGAGGATGGAGTATAGGTTTAACAGGAAGAAACATGGCTGCTGAAAAAGATTCCAGACTCCATTGGATTGGGGGGGGTAATGTCAGAAAAAGGGTTCCACCACAAATGCGCGCACAACAAAAGCGCGCCTGACTAAACTGCGGTGTCTAAAGCGCGGTGACAAAACCACGCGACGAATGAGCGACGAATTAGCCCTAAAGCGCGTCGACAAAAGCGCACCGACAGAAGCGCACTGTAGCGTAACCCTA